ATAATGGGTGACTGGAATGCAAAAGTTGGGAACAGAGCAGAAGATCAGTAGTTGGAAAACATGGACTTGGTGACAGAAATGAAGCTGGAGATAGAATAATTTAATTTTGCATGACCAATGACTTATTCATTGCAAATATGTTTTATAAGAAACATAAATGCAGGTTATACACATGAATTTCACCTGATGGCATGCATAGGAATCAGACTGACTACATCTGCGGAAAGAACTGCTGGAGAAGCTCAACATCAGCTGTGGAAACTAGGCCAGGAGCTGACTGTGGAACAGACCACCAACTACTCATATGCAAGTTCAAAATGAAGCTGAGGAAAATTAAACCGAATCCACGGGAACCAAAATATGACTTTGAGTTCATCACACCTGAATTTCAGAACCATCTCAGGAACAGGTTTGAGGCCTTGAACACTAGTGAGCGAATAGCTAATAAGTTGTGGGAGAATGTCAAATGTATCATCCAGGAAGAGTGCAAACAGTAATTACAAAGACAGAAAAAAAAAAAGACCAAAATGGATGTCAGGAGAAACTCTGAAGATTGCACTGGAGCGCAGAGAAACTGAAACACAAGGAAGAATTCAAGATACTAAAGAGCTGAACAGAAGATTCCAAAAGGCAGCATGGAATGACAAAACAAAATATTACAATGAAATGTACAAAGAGCTGGAATCGGAAAATCAAAAGGGCTGAACTCATTCAGCATTTCTTAAGCTCAAGGAACTGAAGAACAAATTAAAACCTCGAGTTACTATAATCAAGGATGCTTTAGGCAGAATATTAAATGATCCAGGAAGTATTAAAAGAAGATGGAAAGAATATATTGAGTCACTGTATCGGAAGGAATTGGCAGACACAGAAGAATTTAATGAAATAACATATGAGCAAGAGTCTATGGTGATGAAGGAAGAAGTTCAGGCTGCTTTGAAGGAAAGAGCAAAAAAATAAGGCCTCAGGAATAGATGGCATAGCAATTGACGCATTTCAGCTAAGAGATGCTGTCCTGGATGTGCTCACAAAGTTATGCCGAGAAATCTGGAGAACCACCATTTGGCCAACTGACTGGAAGAGATCTATATTTGTTCCCATTCCAAAGAAGGGTGACCCAATAAATGTGGAAACTGTAGAACAATATCATTGATTTGCCATGCAAGCAAGATCCTACTGAAGATTATCCAAAAACGACTGGAACAGCACATCAGCAGAGAACTACCAGAAGTCCAGGCTGGGGGATATTGTAGCTGATGTTAAATGGATCTTAACTGAAAGCAGGGAATACCAGAAGACTGTCTATCTGTGTTTCATTGATTATGCAAAGGCATTTGACTGTGTGGATCATAACAAACTGTGGCTGACTCTGAGAAGAATGGGATTCCAAGAACATTTAATCGTGCTAATGTGATACCTATACTTGGACCAAAAATTGGGAAGGGTATACACCAGGGATGTGTCCTATCTCCATACCTTTTCTTTTCTTTTTTT